CCAAAATTTAGGCGATTTCAACAATGCTTCTCCCAGTACTACGGCAATCATATCCCCGAGACAACATAAAGCAGCTCCCCTATCGAAGAATTCTTACCGACGTCGTCAATCCAGAAGTTTTCGACCTACTTCTTACCATGTCCAATAACCACAACGGCTCCACTACCGTACATTCGGACGAACACCGCACCATCACAGCTGCTCCACTCACCAATTGTCCATCGCTGTTCGTGGGAGGACCTTCCACAGATTGTAGCCATCGCGAGGATCATCAGTTCACTGCACCGCAAGTCCTAAGACCACAAACTCTAGGATTTTCTTGCAAACTGCCTCTGACGATGACAAAATCCATAGAGGATATGTTGCGACCTCCAGGGATGAGCGAAGAGATCCTGAATAGACCTCTTGCCAGGGACTGGGCCGATGGTGTACGATTGACTCCTGTATTCAATAGAGATGTTGTTGCTCAGTTCTTTCCTGAGCTGTCTGAGAATCCAATTTTATAAATTAGACAAAAAATGTTGAGCCTCCCTTCTCATGGACTATTTGCATGCTTTATGTTACTTGCTAGTCAATTCTTTGATTATTTTGTCATCGTTTGTTACTAAAATTCGTGAAGCTTTGATGTATTTTATGATCGAAACATAAATCGTGACATTTTTTGCGCTTTTTTGCCTGCACCAGAAAACTCCAGAAACTGGCAAATCTCATATTTGGCATATGAGGAGGAAAGGGCTTGTTAGCGACATTTTCACATTTACCAACATCTTCTGCACTGATTATAAAGGCATTTGCATAACGGCACTCCAACTTCCATTTTTACTTCTTTTAAAACCTGCCAATATGAAGACAGGCTAGTGTATTCAATTTGTTATACACTTTTTTATCGTTTCGCTTCTGCACGTTATGATACGCATGATTGGTGATGAGTCATGGTGGAAATTTCGCGATGAAAAGAGGAAAATTCCTACGCAGAAAAACACACTTTAAAAAAAACTCGTATGTGTTTTCCGCAAACAAATGAGGAACTAGTACAACACAAATAAAACCCTAAAATACGACTGTTTTGAGCCCTATTCATCGTGAAGTTTGAATAACATGATAATAACACTCCAAGAAATCAATTTCTAGTTGAGGCTATCAGAACAAATCTTTTCAACAATTTATATGTATCTCTGAGCAGAAATAACCTGAGCTAGAACCCTCCTACTTACGGAGGACGTCCGAGGAAGTCTGGAAGTTTTTTCACTCTCTCGTAGGATAAGTGCAAAACGGAAATTAGTGGTTTTTACCAAGAATTCAAATTTTTTATTTTGTTTGAATGCAAGCAGCACGCACCCATAACTATATTTTGAGCTGTTGAGCTTCAAAAGTACTCTGCGTTTTGTATTAGGTTCTTACATAATTTTCTTACACTTTTTTTCCTTGTCCTGTGGAAAATTCTAGAAAACTCGGAAAGTCTCATATTTGACATATACGGAGAAGAGATGAAAGGCTATCCTTGGCATCATTTTTGCCTTCACAAACACGATTTACGATATAAATGATTTCCTCCAAAGGCCCTTCCACCTCCATTTTTTCTTTATTTTCTGAAAAGTTCTTTCATTCTTTCTTTTTTTAATTTTCAAGGTTTTTCATTAACTACCGAAAACATCTCTAGCCATATGAAGGCAGTTTCGAGATTTGAGCGCTTCAACATGAAAGTCGAAAAATTGCCAAAAAAAGCTCGAAAAACCTACAGAAAATTCCAGAATTGCATTCTTCATCTGTGACACGTTATACACCAAAAAACCACAGC